AGCTTGGATGCCCTGGTGGTAAGCAGATAAACATCAAATCTTCATTTTTGGGTGAACTATCCCTTTAATGGTCGCTAGTAGATTTTTGAGTTAAATTTAATCCACATCTAAACAGCATACACATTTTTTTTTTATATATATATATATATTATATATATTATATATATATATATATTTAAATTAGTACAATATTACAAGAGATGTAAATTCCACATTTCTTTTTTTTAATTTCCTCTGTCCATCCATAAAGACATTGCACCATACATAAATAATTATGTTGTAAAAATGACTCAGTATTTACAAGTATTCCATATAATACATTTATATAAAACTTTATATTAAATTTAGATAGATTACATTTGGGATTGTGGCTGTGCGTTGGCGTCTGAGCGTTTGTAGTGAGTGTGTGCAGGGTGTGGTAAGAGCAATGTATATGTCTGCATTTGTTCATGTGTATACGTTATCTGTGGTTGTTCAGTAAAATCTCTAACCAGCATGGGCATGATGTTATAAACTGTCTTGAGTAGCATGGTCCCCAGCCCTTGGCAAAACTGATCCTCACACTGTTTGGGTCGTATGGCCCTTCCATGTGCACCAAATCACTGGGGGGTTGAATTTGGCACGACTTCTCATAGTCAAAAACCTTTATGGAGTAGCCTGGCATGACTCTCCTTACAGTCAAACTCGGGTAGGGGTAATGTTCCAGAGTCGGGGAATTCACAAAAATAGGGTGCTGACTGCGGTTGTAGGCCCAAACTCCATCTGGCTCTTTGCTGAGGAGGATGCCGTGTCCGATCTTGCCACGGGTGCGCTGGATGGAGGTGGAACGTGGAGAGAGGGGGAGCAGGCCCAAGCACAAGCCTGTACCCTGAGGTAGGTCATAGAAGATGCTAAGAGAGGCGTCATGAACTGGGTACAGACGGCCAACGCGTGTACGAAGCTCCCAGTATGCCACGTTACACCAGTGGTTCTGAGCCAGGGAGGAGGGAGACATACTGGCATCTGTGGAGTGAAAAAAAAACATAAGAAATTTGAATTTCAAAAAAAGGACACAAATCAAAGAACAAATATTATTTAAAAAAAAATTTCCAGGAAAAGAGTTGCTATGTACAGTATTGTTCTATTTAGTTAAAGTATTGAAAATCTATTTATTGTAAAATCATATAATAATTATAATTAATTTAATAAGAGACCGGTGGAAAAAAAAAACAGAAACAGTGACATTATTATTATTGTTGTTAATATTACTATAATACTGGATAGCAATGATTTTAGCAATGTTGCTATAATCTGCCATGTTTACATTTTGATGATATACTAACATTTATTGTCCCTATTAAATAAACTAATTAATAAAACAAATTAGTTTTTTGTAAATAAATATAATAAATATTGAAATGTAATTAATTTAATAAAACTCAAGTTATTTCACTTATTTTATTCTTAATTTGTCCAAATTTGAGGCTGATTAGTAAAAAAAAACAAAAACAAACTGGAAATACATCATTATTATTGTGGTTGATATTACTATAATACTGGATAACAATGATTAAAGCAATGTTGCTATAATCAGGGATATGTATTTTTATGCTGATGTTCATTAATGTGCATTGTCGCTATAAATAAACAAACAAATAAATAATACTTATTAAATATAATTAAATATTATTTAAATATAACATTTCTTCAAATAAAAAAGATTTTTAAACATTTTTAATGTAAAGTTACATCAGGTTTTGTGTTTCTGAAAGCCACCAGTGCCCCAGGGGCATGCTTATTTCTACAGTAATGTGCTGTCGTGACAAGTAATGTCAATGTTTTGACCACTCTCATATCAGCTCCCTTATTCTTTTTGATGTTACACAGTACATGTGCACTCTCTAAATCTCCAATCCTATCAGGAGAGGATCCGAAACTGAAGAAGCAATGACCCCCACTAACAGGCCCAAAATCTGTCATCTCTGACTCTAACACCCCCCGCTCCTGCCTCAGCATTCCTCTCTCTCCGCGCGGGGCCGACAAGGGCCCCCTCTCCCCCTCCGAGGGCCAGCATTCAGCTCTCTGACCACTCAGTGAAGGCTCGCAACCCCCTGACCCCCCAGCCGCCAGCCTATCCAGTCTGATTAACTCAAACACAGACTGATGGCATTATTTTTGCTTCACAGTCTCTATTGAGGGAGAAGATCTAAAGCCCTGGGCCTGTGCCCTCATTCTGCTCAGTCTCAACCCTCTCTGGCCCAAACAGACAGCAGAGGACACACTGTTAATGAAGTAGGTTTTGTTTAAGGAGGGGTACGGAAATACACGATCATTATCTCAGACTCTCTGGCCGCTCACTTAGTAAGTACTTTCAAATATATAAAAAAAAGGTTACGCACGTAAAAGACCGAAAAGAAGGACATCATTTTCATAATGATTTGCATAAAACTTCCTGGATTTAAAGTAAATACAATGGAAAAACCATGCAAAATAGGAAAACAATGCAAAAGACCTATCAGATGTCAATGGAAAAGAATCTTTTCATCTGCTTTTCTTATTTATCGTTTCATATTTAACTCCCTTCGATCGTATGCAAAGACATGCAAATCACATATTTGCTGCCTAGTTTAATTCTGTAAGCAATGCTATGGTGTATGATAATGTTTAGGAACGTTCAACCTCTCCTTTAGAAAGTTCTCTGTTTTGCATGCATAACAGTTGTTAGTGCCTGCAAAAGCATTCTTGGTGCTTGTGCGCCTAGCCTAATCCAACACCACAAAATGAGAGGGGGAAGGAGAGGATGGAGTCTTGTCTGCCCTGCTGTGCCAAATATTAGATCTCCCTCCACATATTAGACACTTCCACTGAGCCAGTGAATGGTGGGGGAGCTTAGAGGGGTGATAATGGAAATGCCACGACGAGAACTGCCAAAGAACTCTAGAACACTTCCAGTATTTTCACAACTCTAGAACAATAGCAGCGGTCGAAATTGTTCGGCTCCAAAAGCAAGCCAACAATTTTTTCTTTCTTTCTGTGCATCTAAAGCTTTATTCTAACATAACACTTGAAGGGGCAATTCACCCAAAAATGTAACTTCTATCATCATTTACTCACCCTTGTTTAAAACATGTATGACATAATGTTTCTTCTGTGGAGCATCAAAGACATTTTTTTTTGTAAATCCATAACATACAGTGAAAGTCAATGGGGACCCCATACAAGTATTGTATAGACAAAGCAGTCAAAACATAACTCCTTTGTGCTCTAAAGAATAAAGTAAGTCATACATGTTTGGAATGACATGAGGGTGAGTAAATGATGATAGAATTTTCATTTTTGGATGAATTATCCCATATGCTTCATTTTAGTGACATAATACTTGGAAGTCAGGCACAGGCATACACACACATTTCTTTATACTGAGGGATATAATTGTAGAAGTATCTTTCTTTTGCAAGTCATTTTGCTGCTCATTCCACTGGATGATGAATTTGTGGTAAGAGAATTGACTGCATATTGATCCTTATCTAAGATGAAGCTAACAGCTTGTGTCAGGATGAAAAAGCAAAATGATTTCTCCCTGTCACAATACTGAGGAGAAACGGAGAGGAATATGCAGACAGACACATGCAATCACGCATAAATGCAATTACAATAAATCAGTCAAAAAAAAAAGTAACTAGACCTAAAAAGCCTTAATATGTGTGTCCCTTAAAAAACAGGGGCAAATAATTTTCCAACAATTGATAGTCGTACTTTGTCAACATCTGTAAAGAATCTCTGCAGAGACAGGCAGGATTTCATTAGTTAAATTGCGTGTTGGCCTGCGCTCTGTCAGGAAGAGGGGAAGCCACAGCGAGGCCTGTAATTTAAACCTTATTTTAAAATGCGACTGGCTGGCTGTGCCAAGGCTTGCATTGCAAAACTCAGCAGGAAGCAACAACATGAAAATAATGGAGGAAAGAACGTATGTGACACACCAAAAGAGGATCTTGTTCCTTGTCTCCAGAGCTCTATATGCTGGGTAATAATAAGCACAGTGCTGTGAGACACACAGCAGATAAGAGCTCAGGAGGCCCCGAGTCCCCCAGTCAGCATCCTGACAAAACTGCCCATTGTTGCTCATAATCTAATTTTGACTCAGTGCTGAAAAGTTGGTGGATGACGTCTAAGAAGTTTTAGCTACTTGCATACGGCACATCTAGATATCACATTCAAACTGGAGAAAGTCAACAATTATGTTAATGAATCTCCAGAGAAAAGTGTAACATGTATTCATCATCTTAAAAATATCCTTGAACGTAGAAGTGACAAAATAGAGAGAACCATAAATCATATGGCTACATAACACTACAGAAACAAAAGCAATGAATGAAAGCAACAACGTCACTACTTCAAGAACCATTAAATAAGCACTGAGAGTTTATGTTTGGACTTGGAGGTGAATGCATGTATGTATGTATGTATGTATGTATGTATGATAGAGAGAGAGGAATGCTGACCAAATGCTAACAAAAATAACATGGATAAGCTAACCGTTTGATATGTAGCAGCTCTGAAAACAGCAAATTGCAACAGCCAGCAACCTTAGGTCCAAACCAAAGCATCACATTCAGTAAACACACTAATATTATTTATTAAAAAAGAAGACTTTGTTTTTGAAAGAAGTCTCTCATGCCAACCATGTCTGCATTTTTAATTAAAAAAATAGTACAAGCAGAAATACTGTGAAATATTATTACAATATGAAACAACTTTTCTATATTTATATACTTAAAATGATTTTTATGCATTTAAAATTGAATATATTGAAATGTATTCCTGAATTTTCTAAAGCTGAATTGTCAGCAGCATTACATTTGGTGCTTATTATTAATGCTGAAAATGGTTGTTCTGGTTAATATTTTTGTGGAAACTTTGATTCGATGAACAGAACGTTCAAAAGAATAGCATTTATTTGAATGAGAAATCTTTTGCAACCTTTTAAGTGTAGCATAAGCCATTTGATTTACTGAACACACTTTTTACCCCTTTTAAATGCATTAATTTACTTAAGACTTGCACACCAACCTGAATAGTCCAGCGACATGCCACCGAGTGAACGCGTGGCTTCGGTTTCTATGTAAGGCAGCACTGGGAGGGAAGAATCTGCAAAATGACAAGACGAAAAATTGACCCTTTTCTCCATTTGACTGCTGATAAAAACATGACATACAGGGTTAAAACGTCATTTGTTATTTCAAGGAATCTTTGCTTACTTAAAGTGAGAAAGACAAAATTACTTACTCAGTGGCTTGTGTTCTGGTAAGGGGGAGAAATGGGAGTAGGGAGGAGGCGGTGTGTCTGAAAATAGGGAGAACTGAGTTTTCTTTAAATTGAGCATCGCTTTAAAACTGAACACATCTCTGACTTTTCAAGGCTATATGACCAGACCTAGAGCTAGAGATCTAATACTGTAACAGTGCTTGGCACAGTTTCTCCAGAATTTCTATAGCAAATGAGAATGTTCCCAGCTGGTATGGAAATTTCAGGTGAAGAAGAGCATCCATCAAAAGACAATGGATGTGTTGTCATGTGCCAGGAATGCATGGAATCCAATCAAAAGTGACCTGTTCTGAATCACATTATAACAGTGGGTGGAAACACTGCAATTTTGCTAACGCAGAGAATGAAAACTTCATGGAAAACACTTAATGTATCAAACTTTGCTTTAAAACTATTAACCATTAATTATTAGTATCAGTGCTAATGGAGTGTAGTGACATTTTGTATGCATGTCAAGGTCTCATGCACTACACTGCAATTCATACTGCTTTAGACATTTACTTTTGATCTATGGTTATGCATTCACTAAACCAACATGTTACGTTTTTAGTGTATTCTTTCTTGACCCTCTTCAAAGATGATTGTTCAATCAATTCTTTATCTGCAACTGTTCATTTATATACACAATGTTAGGGTAGTGTTTTTGTGAATAGGGAGGGAGCAGAGAAATTGAGAATCCCAGAGGGATTCTAGTTGGGAATTCCACTTCCTGAACAGGAGTATCACTGTCCAACTCCCCTCCCTATCATTCACCCATGCTTCAAGTAAAAATCACATTTATATTAGTATTTATATTAGTTTTTCCTGATTTGATGCTACAGAAAACACGTAAGAGGGTTTGCTGGTCTTCGCTAATTTGAAATGGTCTTATATGGTTTAAGACGGTCTCCTGGCCGGGGTAAACATGGACTTCCAAAAAGAGCCCAAAACTCCTCTAGAAGCATCAAACAGACCAGCCTGGATTGGTTGGGAGACCAACTAAGACCAGCAAAAAAGTTCTGCTTTTTTCAGCAGGGCTGAAAACACACTTCAAATGGACAGCAAAGCCATTATAGCCTTGACTAAAAACATTCAGAGGTTTCCTTACCATCCTTGACTGGTCCACAGACACGGCTGTAGTGATGGGGGTTGCAGCAGAGAGTCTGGCTGTCCTCTGCCCTGAAGCTCTGACAGTGACAGAGCGGTTTGAGGAGAGAGGAGAGCCGCAGGTCCGGCCAGCGGAAAAGTCGACACAGCAGGTACTGTGGAGACACCAGCTGACCTCCAGTCATCCGGACCACCATCGCCCCCTTCTTTACCTGCGGTGACCAAACGGCTTCTCCAGAGTCGCCGAACCAGACCCGTGCGTCTCGTCCTGAACATACGACAATTTAAACAGTTTGCATCCGTTTTACCTATGTTTGGTCAGAACCGCGGAGACTCCAAACGCTCGTGCGCTCGCTGTGCGACATCAATGATCTGTGTTTACATGCACAGCCAAGCAGAGCCTGAGCAAAGCCCAACATTAGACTCCGCTGCTACAATATATCAGCACTGTAGCAAATGGATGGCTATAATAATGATAGTGCACTACGTGAGGAGCGGTGCATCGTCTGTAAACATTCCCCAACAATATGAGAAACTTCTTGTTGAACAATACGAAATGCACGATGCGCAGAAAAAAATCTTCGATAATCTCCGAAACAGACCCTTTTTTTTCAAGAAAACCTTCTGCAGCAGTTTAATGACGCCGAGCACGTGAATGGATCTCACTATAATCCTTATTCATGTTCCACGCGCTCCTCGCGAAAGAAAATGATTGTGTTGCGACGGCAAAGTGGTCGTTCCGGGTGGATAGACGGACGTGGGATGTCTTGAGGTTTCGTTCCGTGTTTCGAGCGAGATTAATGGGATTCTTCTATGGTCTTTCGCCGTTTCACTCTCTTTCTTCTTCAGATACACACACACGGGGCCCCTGAGGAGAGCAGTGGAGCCATTGGTTGATTCCCATCATGTGCTCGTCTAGACACTTTGGCGGCTGCGAGCCGCGCTGATTGTTGCGCAAACACAGTATCAAGTTTCCGAACTCTTAAAGGAGCAACATGTACCTGTGTGTGTGTGTGTGTGTGTGTGTGTGTGTGTGTGCTGTGGCAGCGCCAGAACATCAAAATGTTACTGCTGCAATGATTGTGAAGAAAAAAACAAAACAATTTCAAGACACCAAAATGTTAACTACTGCTTTAATGTTTGTGATTGTGCACGAAAAAACGTATTACAATAACTACAAATAATGAAATCGCTAGAATAAGTATAATAATCTTTAATTGTGAAAAATTTAAGGGGGTCTGAATACTTTCCGTACCCACTGTATATATATATATATATATATAAATCCTTTTTCTACACTGGTGAATGATATAGATATATAGAATGATGAAAAACCCTTGTTGCAAATTGTCAGCATCAAGAGGAAGAATCCTTGGGCTTTCTCCCTTCACTTATCATAGGGGTGATAACTGTTGTAGTCTGGCGTCAGGCTAATAATTGCAGCTACTCCCATTAAGTCTCTTAGATAGTCTATCAGCAGAAGTCTGGAGCAGAGACAGAGAGACCAGCACCAAACCACCCCCCAAAATAACCCCAGTCCATCCAGTCCGGACAGACGTGGTCTTGTTGATGGGGTCTAGCAAGACCCAACAGGAATAGCATGTCAACAAGCCCCTTATTCCTAATGGACCTTAGGGAGAGAGGCGAGACAGTGGGAGACAGAAAAAGAGAGCACTCACATCCCTTAAGGCCTTTCCTCGGGTCCATACTCCATTCTGGATGGCGCTAGTTCCATGAATACTGCCAAAATGCTCTAGAGACTAAAACAAAGTCAAAATACATTCAGATGACACAAGTGCAACTAATATAGGCTGAAGACTGGATGAGTTGATGAAAATATCTCAAACTCAATTGAATGCACAATTCGACAATGTAAAGAAGCTGTGTGGTAAAGACCTGATTTCTGACTGCTGGTGTGGCCTATGGTAGCAGGAAGTCGTAGCCACAGACAGACATTAGCAGTGTAATCTGTCTCCTGTGGAAGGTTCTGGCAGTCAAAACAAGAGTTTCGGCGAGGAAAACCTCATTTATGGTGAAGACAAGGAGACAGCCAGAGACTTAAATGAATGTCTGCTGTGTAAATGTGATGCTTCTACGTGGCAGTATGTGCATATGAAAAAAAAAAAAACGGAATATCCTTAATAAAAGCAGAATGTGAAGTTCTCTTACTCCTTTGGAAATTTTAATATTATGGCTACAGTATTTTACTCTTAGGAAATATTTACTGTAAAAATATTTTCTGTACTTGAAAATATTACCTAACATTAACAATGACAAATGCATTTCTTACAGTAGTTATTCATCTTTGTTGACAATACAGATTACAGTTGTTCATTATTAGCTCAGGTCTATAAATATTTTTTAAAGGGACAGTTCACCTAAAAAATGAAAATCTGTCATAATTTTCTCCTCGTCATGTTGTTCCAAACCCATAGGACTTTAATCTTAATCTCTGAAATACAAGTTAAGATATTTTTTAATGAAAACCGAGAGGTTTCTGTCCCTCTGTTGAAAGTCCAGGTAACCAAACCTTTAAAAAGGACATAAGGCATAAAGGCAAAAAACAAATCTGTGGTTAAATCCAAGTCTTGTGAAGAGATATGATAGCTTAAAATAATGAACAGATTTAATTTTGTCTTTTTTACATCTAAATTTAAGACGTGCATACATATAGCACTTCACACATGGTAAACACAGAAGCTCAAATATTCTAGAACAAACTTCATTGGTTTTCGTGCGTCACACTCACATTACGCATACACAAGCTTCCGTGTTTACCATATGTGATCCGGTCTATGTTTTTGTGTTTATATGTGAATAAAAGCCTAAATTAAATCTGTTCATCATATACAGCCATCATATCTCTTCACAAGACATGGATTAAACCACTCGATTCATATGGATTCATTCAATTAGTTTTACGATGTCTTTATGACCTTTTTGGATCTTCTAAGTTCTGGTTACCTGGACTTTCAATAGAGGGACCCAATTAATAAACTAAGATTAATAAATGCTTTTCCATCATTAGTTCATGTTAACTAATGTAGTTAACTATTGAACTTCATTGTAAATTGTTAACGTTTTCATCATGCTGTACCAACATCTTTGTTTCAGTGTATTTACATTGCCACAATAATTAACAGTATGTCCTTTCTACACTAGTCAACATTTGAAGTGGATCAAAACCTTTTTATCAAAGTTGTCCTAAAACCAAAATGCATTCCTGTCTTAGGACAACTTTGATTCACTTTTTTGATCCACTTCAAATGCTGACTACTGTACAGTACATGATTGATTGAGTTTTAAGAGTTTATCCAGAATTTATTTTTCAGCAATATATACAGTAAAATATAGTGATACCTCATGAGCAAAAGTTGATCACAGCAGGTAATCAACAACAAATTTCTGTTTCTGTGAAGTTATTTAAAGTAGCACTTTTTTTTGCCACATTACCTTTATATATAAAATATATCTGCTTTTATTCAATAAACAATCAGTTAATATTGAGTACATCAGACACCGTAGAGGGCCAATTATATTGTCTGTTTTTGCTCTGACACTGAAAACTGAGCGGGTCTGTAGTGTTGTTTCATTCCTGAATGAATTTGTACAGTCAATCGGTTGATAAAATGATTCAAATTGCTCTCTTATACAGTTACTTGCTTTGCTCCTAAATGAGTCAGAGTTTTTGAATGAATCAGTTTAGTGAATGATTCAAATGACTCACTCCTAAATCAGTCATTGGCCGCCACCTACTGGCATAATGATGTAACCTGCAGAAACAATAACTGAAAAACTAGACCAGAGCTGTTATTGCAACAATATTACTGCTGGTTTTCATTTATGTTTTTATTTCATATTATTTTAATTAAATTAAAAATAGAATGCATATTTTGTTATATATATAATAAAAAAAATACATTGCACTCTCTAGACCAGCATATTCTGTTCTTTAAAATGGTGCAAAGCTCCATGATCTACGGTACATTGAAAAAAATCTGTTTTAAGCAAATAACACCAAAAAGAGTTGCTTTATTTACCTAGATTCTTTAAAAGAACACCAACAGAACAACCCACGTTATACGATTTATTCTTGTAGCTAAACAGCATATCTGAGGAATACGCATTTCAGATTGTTTCCTCTTTGAATATACAACAGTCTCTGCATTGCTGTGCAAAGCTGACTCCTTCCATTCATTTTGTGTGCTTTTTAAGCATGCCTGTTGTTGGCTCTATGAGCGAAAAGAGAATATCTGAGAACCCGAGGAAGGAAGTAGGCTAAAAACAGAGGAAAGGGAGAGAAACTCAGCGAGATCAGACCACTGTTGCTGAGCTGATTGTAGTCTAGTCTAGTCTCAGAGCGCCTGGCCCGACAAAGCAGGCCATAAACATCTAGACGATAGAGAGAGAGAGATAGAGCTCTACTCTTACTTGTGCGAGTAAACAAAGAGTTTACTTCACTTAGCGTGCAATTGACTTTGCATTTGTGCAGCACAGTCGATGCAAATGATGTTATCTTGTGCCTCGTCATTTCAGAACTATTATCTTCACAGTGGCACACAAGACTAAATGATTACAATAACACAGGTAAAAACGCATACAACTGTGGACCTCTGCTGAGATTCAAGTATGCTTCGGGGTAAAAAAGAAAGGAAAACGAGATGTACAAACACAGACGGAGAGATATGAAGATTACAAGTGTTTGCGTTCATCAGTAAACCTGCATAACCAGAGACAGGCGTGTCCCGTCAACAGTAATAGACTCTGCGTGCATCTGTGCCAACCTGAGTTTACATCAGTGGGTACAAAGACTACATCTAATCTCCAGGAGAGAGACGCAGAGAGAGAGAGAAAGAGGACGGGAAAAGGGAGAAGACCATTCCAGGGGCCAGCAAGGCTCCTAGGGGTGAGCTGAATTAAGTAAGAGCTCGAGAAAGAGAAACAGAGAGAGCGAGGGGTGGAGAGGCAGAGAGGAGAGAGTAAGTCAATGGAGGAGATTTGAGACAGGAAGACTATGGCGTCAGTACAGACTGGAGATAAGGGCTTCAGTTCCATACACAAACACACTTGTTCTCCCGGGCCGAACAGCTACACATACTTTGTCTCACTGTCAACTGACCAGACACACACAGGGCCTCTCTGCTGGTGCTTTTCATCACCGCTCATGCACTGCTATAGGGAGTTTATGCTCCTTGGTGTTCCCTGACGTCCCCTGTTATTATGGTTAGTACTTTTTTTAATTTATTGTATGTGAGATGATTTTTACTTTTTCACTCAAAACACAAAGTCATTCAGGCCGGTTTGTTTTGCTCCTCTATTTTCTCTGCCTGTAAACTCTCTTAATATAAAGTTGAACTCTGTCAAAACAGTAACAATAGATCGGCTGAACTCACGTGCATTTCGTCCTTAAATAAGCAAGATCCACAACACTATAAGGTGAGGAAACACGGGCCTGAGTCTGGCCAGGGGTCAGAGGAACTTTTCCTCAAAGATAAGCAAGAGAGACAGAGTACATACTGAAGGGAAAAGCTACTTCTTTCAGGAAGAACCCTCTGCTTTGAAAGTAATGTTGAGTATAAGTTTACCAAGAATGTATGTTTTTATGTGTGTGTTTGGCTCTGATTTAAACTGACAAAGGAGCAGGAAAAACAGAGGAACTAAACTCTACAAAAAAAAAACTTTAGTTTTTTTTCCCTAACTGCTTTCTTTTTGTAATATTTGTATTCTGTTCCTCTTGTGACTTAAATGTTATTGCATGATCATTGTCAACTTCATTATGTCAGCTAAATTACTCATAAATTACTTTCAAGGCTGCATTCTGAGGCATTGAGGTGCTATTTTAGTACCCCTTAAGCTGTAGTGTCTTTGGATTGAACATTGATCTGTGAGTAAACTGATCCTGTGTGGCTCTCTTTTTGTGTACTGTATCACAGCACAAAACATCCTGAATGCTTCACAGAACAACACTGTCTTTTTATATTTTTTTTTGTCTTGTTTTCCAGTAAAACTACCCAAACATCCTTATAAACCAATTGTTTCCAAGTGTTCTCATTAAATGTAGGCTATGCTTTGCAGTAAAAAGTACTATTTTAAAATATTATATAAATATTTTAACAGTATTTAATTGACCAATAAAAATGAAGGTGGGTTTGTGGACTTGCCAAAGGAGTGATTTTTAGGATTAAATAAACATGGTCCGCCGTAGTGTTCATTGAGAACTAAATTTAACACATCACAATCATGTTATGGTTATTTATCCTAAAATATCACACATATATAACAACATTATGCAAAGAGTCCATAACATGCTTTAAAAAGGTCCTGAACAGGAATAGAGACCGAAAAAGAGACATTCATTTCTATATTCTTCCTTTTTTCTGATTGTGTAGTATGGTCATGTAAGCAAAACTTGGCATTCTTTCTCTCCTGAGGAAGTTCTCTACTCTTTAGCTTACCAGACTCTTTCTATACACAGCTTTAAACTCTTGAGAGACCGGGGCATTGGGCACAAAGCAGTACCGAATATTTGGAGTAACAGTTTCTTTGTGACTGAAGATTTCTGAACATGTATCTCCATTGGAGAAGGCTAAAAGTAAAGACAAAGAGAATGTTACTAAATGTAAGGAACAGGTACTGTGGGTAATGCATTCATGCAATTTGTGTGTTTGTGTGTATTCCTGCATGTTTCTGGAGGGAATGGGTGGGATGTTTTTATGGTATGATTCAGTCAACTGTTTCTAAATCTCTCCCTGATTACTGTATATTGAATTCCCAGCATTTCAAGTCAACAACTCTCCCACTAGTTCACAATTCTTGAGAAAAAATGTAAGCCCTCAGTGTGAAATGGAGAGAGGGAGAGGATGTGTTTTTGAAGAACGTGGTTTATGTCGCAAGTAATTGCATGTGATTCTTCTCCCAACTTCAAAGCGAGTGGATCTGCAGTTCAGGGTTGGGAGGCCAGACCACTACCAGATCGGCTCTCAATTTCCTGTCCCTGCCTGGCTTTGAGCAGAGAGAGGATTTGAGGCAGAAACGTGTGAAATACAGAAGACAGATTTACAGATTTGTTTGTGTCTGTTACAAGTTTCAGCATCAAAAAGTTGAAAATTTTACTTAAAAATGTACTTCATGTTATAACATATAAATTAACCATTTTTATTTAAGTCAAAGCAATGACATGCCAATGAATATATCAATGCAGTACTTGTTAATTAAGGGTCAAATCAAGCAGAAGTAACTTATAAACACAACAACTGCACTTTCACTATTAATTTGTTACAGTTTATCCATCTTCATATGAAAGAAGAACATGCACAATTACAACTGTTTTTGAAGATGCCAGATTTAGAGCCTCACAAATCAACCAATCAAAACAGAGAACTGACTGCCCAGAATAATTTTATTTGTTCATTTATGAATGAATGAATGATAATAATTGTTATGTTTATTCATATTGGTGGTGCTCATTCTCTGTTATCTTTCATGGTCAATACATACACAAACTCAAACACAGGGTTTCCATTCTGCTACATCTCACATGACTAATCAAATCCTTCTCTATGAACTTTTTTCCTTTCAAGCTTGTTTAAAGTTGTTCCTTTGCCTGTATCCGTGACATAGAGCAGTAGCCTATCATATAATTATCATCCATGTGAGATAAGACAAGACATACATCAGGTGGCCCAGGGAGGAGCATGACAGATAAAGCTTTATCAGTAGGTTCAGAAACGCTTTTTATATGAAATCCAAATATGAGCTATCTAAAAGAAATCTTGGTCCAGACAGACTGGCCGGTTTTATTATCTCTAGAGTGCATGGTTAGAGAAAATAAAAACATACATATGCTCATGCAAAAATATTCTCTAAAAATTACTAAGATTTTTATTTTTTATAAAGTTATGAAACATCATTTCTGTTTCTATAAAATGGTGGCAATTACAAGTCTCAAGTCACTCCAAGTGCCTGAGGTGAACTGTGCTCAGTTGTATTCCCTAGGTCCATGACTGGCACACCACACGCACACAAGCTCTAGATTACAGCTTCATGGTCCCTCTCACAGTCCATAGCTGGGATTGGCAATGACATGTGAATGCAGACCAGCTCTAATTTAAGCATCCACGTTTATACACCCATAATGGGGTCAGTATAAGCGCTTTTGGAGTGGGCCAGAGACTGTCCAGAACTCTCTTTCCAGAACTAAGGCAACACATTATTCCCAAAACTACCCACAGCACTCTTTCCAGAAGGCTATACATTATTGCTATATAGGAGAATGAGGCTTTGCTGCTGAAACTGTTAGTTTTTACACTGTATTCATAACCTATAACACAAAAACGTCTAATTAATTTCATGGAATTCATGCATGAATTAAATAAATTTGAAATCTAAGATAAGATAACAATCTGTTAATTATCTTGGGGTGTATTTATCATATTCTAACTGACTGTGCATTGGCAGAATGTGCAGCACTAAATGTGTTGCATCTAAAACTAATGCCAAAACAACTTTCACAATTACACACACACACACCATCCTGAGCGTGAAATAAGAATGGAGGGTTTTGAAATGAACTGGTAGTGCATATCTCTGCAGCCAGGCAAGAGGGCTGTGGCATGCCGGTGTTATTGAGCAAACCACTTTGGCCTGTGTTTGTGTTTGATAGGATCAGGGGCTCAGTGGGTGGCGAAGGACTCTGGTAACGGAGTACTAAGGCTTTAAAAACTCCTTGCTGTTTTTTGGGCTTTTTCTTCAGCCCAGCCTCCACGCTGAAGGGAAGGACTGAAATGTAAACATCCAAACATGCTCGGGCCCTTTTAAAAGGCTGTTTTTCAGCCTCCACTCTTAATTGGAAACAGACAGTGGCCTTGTATGCAGAGGTGGGGTTAAAGCTCAGACGCTTCACTGACAGGCTGCAAATCCCACTCACAATCTTTGATGTGATGTCTCACTCGTTTGAAAACATTTTTCAAGCAAATTAAAGGTTATATCGCTCATTATATCTGTGTAAATGAATGCCATGATATGAGTGTGTTTCGAAAGGGTGATAATACGTATGGAAATGAAATATTTACTTGAGATTATTTACCTGTTTATTCCACCGTAAATCTTCCTCCAAGAAAAATGTAGTCCATGAATCAAGAGGATCCAAGCGAATCCGCGTGTGATACGTGACATATGAAAGTAGTGCCGGGGTTACTTACCCGTGCGGATTGATACAGTGGTGCTTCGTGTTCCCTTTTCAACAGCTAAAGAAAAGAAAAATCAACTAGTTTGTTTTCACGAACTTTGCAAAAGAGTGGAAATATACAGAGCTGGGTTAAGTCAGTCAGACGATATAAATATGTTACAGTCTCTACCTCAGCAACAGCATTAGAAACCTCTTTGCAGCAGTGTTTACTAGTTTTTGGCAAATTAATGGCAGGATAACACAATAAAAAGCACAGTGTTATGAATGTAAATTATTTTATGAAACAAAATGAAAAAAATGAAAAAATGTTGTGGGGGGGTGGGGGGTCATTATGGGCCTGTTACTATGTTCCACTATTACCCCCGTCTGACGCCACACTTAAAACTACATTAGGAAGTGGTACACTTTAAATACCTAGATGATGCCCTTATTTAACCAAAAAGATGTTGGTATGTTGGACACTTAATTAAAAAAAACTTTCCTTACATAGGAGTGGCGGTCAGACTCTGATGCTAGACGGTAATCTACATGTAAAAGTGCTTAGTGTATAGTATGTCATTTGGGGCACACCTTTTTAACTGCTGGTCTGAAATATCTGACTACTGAATGCCACAATGGACCAATCAGAATAAAGTATTCCTGAAAGCCATCTAATAAATCTTGCCACGATTTCAAACTTTTGTAAAAAAAAAAAAAAAAAAAAAAAAAAAAAAAATTTATTTTGTT